AATGAGTGAAAAGGGGAAAATTCCAGCAAACTCCAAGGGGTAAAACAGAAAAAAAGCAAGTTGGGCACATTTGCCCAGGGCTGGCCTGCTGTATAAACAACACCGACGATCACCTAGGGCACTATTTGATTACGGCGCACAAAGGGGTGAGTGAAAAAATCTGAATAAATACCCGCTTCCATAATATTACAGGTATCTGAACTAGTTTTCATATTTCAGTACTTTTCTTTTGAACTAGGTGGAAGCTGGCTAATTACCAGCTAGACACGCAATGCTACTAAAATGGAATGAAACAGGATGTGTTATTCCTACGTTGTGTGAAGACTAAACCTGTGGCATATCTCTGGATTAGATTAAACAGCTCTCTGAATAAGAACCTTTGGGAGGTACTGACCTTGCTCCCAGTTAAACTGTCAGAGCTCTGTGCTTTACTTTGACTGCCACTGGTTTCCAGAATGTTCTGTGTCTATTGATGCTGCTTGTTGACTGTGATTTGGATGTGCTAAATGAATGGATCTGGATTGACAGTTCTCAAATTGTGATTTGCAGCTGTTGCTCCAGCGTACAATTCATTTAACCTGGTTGCCTACACTTGTATCTCAGACCTCTTTAATTATAGACTGGTGTGTGGGTACTCTATAGCAGAGATTAAAAGAAGAGCATTTATTACCAAAGGGTCAGCAAGACTGGCAACAACAGATCAGAAACACAAACAGAAGAATGTTCATAGATGTATAGCAGATGTGTAGCTCTCACAATTATTTCTTACATGCATACACCTAAACGTATAAGCATTAAGTTATTGTTTACTGCTGTGTATCAGCAAAGCATAAGTCGTCTTGCTCGCAAGGTTTTTGTACCATGTGACATGGTGACGCGTGACGACGTTTTGCAGCGCCGGACAAAAACATTTAACCATATAATGAAAAACGAGGTTTAAAATTTTCTACATGAAGTGCAGGGAGACTATCAATTAATGGGTATGATTTAGTGTTGTTTTGTGCTATAGTATAGGCTGAAACCTGCGGTTATCATTAAAAACAAAATGCGGTAATCATAAGACGAACTTTAATTTGTGTACGCCAATGAATATTAACAGGAACATAATTTCAAACTTATGCTGGACTTTTATTTTTAATTGATTGCTCTTTTTTCTCCCACAGTGGTGAAATTGCACCATTTGTATTTTGTAATTGCATTTGTATCGCTCAATTAGAAACGGGAGTTGTATTTCAAGTGTAGTTTGAATGGGGGGCTCAATATGTTCCTATGTAGAAAAGGGGGCCCCGCAGAGAAAGTTTGGGAACCACTGCACTAGCTGAATACATATATTTAGACAGTAAAAATACATTGACAATGATGGACAGTAACAGTGAATATTATTATATAATAAAATACATTTAAAAATAAAGATTTCTTATTCATTATTTTAATATTAATAATACACCATTAATACATTTAATTATAATAATATTGTCGTGCGGAGTGGAGACGGAATGGAGACAAAGGCGCAGACGTCAACGTATCGGGGAATACTGGGTTTAATTACAGGTAAGGCAGGCAAAACGCAGACGGAAAATACAATGACCGGACTGGGGAAACAAACTGACTAAATACAGAGTACTAATGACAACAACCAGAAACAGCTGATCACGCGGGGATTCCACACGGGGTTAAGGAGAGGGCGTGGCACACGGAAGGAGCGGACGATCGGGCAGGACACATTGGGTTTTTTTTAACTTTACATATTGTTTGGATACATTTATTTTCTTACTTTACAAATTACTGTTTTGATAAATGTGCTTAGATGTGTTTAGTACAGTATATGCTCTTCTTGTTTTATCCGGTTCATTTTGTGTTTAAATGCTAAAAAAAAACATATTTAGATGTAATTTTTGGGGGCCAGGAATAAATTAATTGGTTTTCCATTATTTCTTATGCGGATAATTCGACCACAACTCGAACTTTTTCGGATTCGATCCGGAGTTTTGAACGGATTAAATTCGAGTTCTGAGGTACCACTGTTTTAGAAAAAGTTTATTTACAGTAATAGCCTCTATAGTAATTATACTGTATATATACTGCTCAAAAAAAATAAAGGAACACTTTGGAAACGCATCAGATCTCAATGGGAAAGAAAGTCATGCTAGATATCTATACTGATATGGACTGGGTAATGTGTTAGGAACAAAAAGATGTCACATCGTTTGATCGAAATGAAAATTATCAACCTACAGAGGCCTGAATTCAAAGACACCCCAAAAATCAAAGTGAAAGCAGGCTTTTCCATTTTGCAGCAACTCAAAATCGTACTCAGTAGTTTGTATGGCCCCCACATGCTTCTATGCATGCCTGACAATGTCGGGACATGCTCCTAATGAGATGATGGATGGTGTCCTGGGGCATCTCCTTCCCTATCTGGACTAGGGCATCACTGAGCTCCTGGACAGTCTGAGGTGAAACCTGGTGGTGTCGGATGGACAGAAATAATGTCCCAGAGGTGTCCTATTGGATTTAGGTCAGGCGACTGTGGGGACCAATCAATGGTATCAATTCCTTCATCCTCCAGGATCTGACTGCATACTCTCGCACCATGACGCCGGAAAATTGTCTTGCACCCGGAGGAACCCAGGACCCACTGCACCAGCATAGGGTCTGACAATCGGTCTAAGATTTCATCCCGATACCTAATGGCAGTCATGGTAGCATAGTCTAGCCTGTAGAGGTCTGTGCGTCCCTCCATGGATATGCCTCCCCAGACCATCACTGACCCACCACCAAACCAGTCATGCTGAATAATGTTACAGGCAGCTTAATGTTCTCCACAGGTTCTCCAGACCCTTTCACGTCTGTCACATGTGCTCAGCGTGAACCTGCTCTCATCTGTGAAAAGCACAGGGCACCAGTGGTGGACCTGCCAATTCTGGTATTCTATGGCAAATGCCCATCAAGCTCCACGGTCCTGGGCAGTGA